TTTGATCGTCTTGCTCCAAAATGGTAAATTTTACAGTAGTCTATAAATACCCATGTCAGCTGGATTCAGAAATGTTTCGAAGCAGCTGGCAGAAAGCCCTCTAACAAAAAAAAAGTATCCACTACTTGGCTGACCTAATTGGCCCATCCATTACAGATCAATGTCACAAGCAGTGAAGGACAAGGGTTGAGGGGGTAAATAATATACAAACTTCCCCAAGCACCTAGTCTGCATCCCCAAGTGAAACTGGCTGAAATATATCCATACAATGGTAATCAATGGGTGCCTCAAGGATTTCAGATACAACCAAAATAACATCCAAGTTAGATTGGATGCAAATACTGTATCCACAAAGTGCTTTGCAAAAAAGGTCACAGCAGAGTACTGATGATACCCATTGGATCCTGTGAAGGACTTTTAGTCAATTTTTAACTGGAAAGCACCCCTGTTCAGTGACTGCAGATACAACATTAGCAGAGAAGTAAGCTTCATAATACCAGCTCTGCAAAAAAATAATAATGAAAAAAGTGGTATTCGGCTAGAGTCAGCCTGGGTCTTCTATTACTAATGGTATTAGGGCATATTTATTACAAATTTAGCAGCCAGCTACAGTTTTTATAGCTAACATACCACAAGAAAATTCCAAAAGTGTGCAAATGAGAACTTCTAAATAACCAAAGTATCCAGGGACATTGAGGATGCAGACCTTATTTTCTATATACTACTTCCCAAAGATGACATATTTCTTATCTATGAGAATTTTTGGGTTTATCATCTACCTGCCCTCAAGGTGAGTCACCTCAGCTTGTATACTGGCTTTGTTCTTATGTTCATGATCTAGCTGCAGGGATACATGCTCCAACTCTGGCTCATGCTGGTAGATTTCTTGTGCTCCCTCACTGCTCTGCAGATGCTCCTCCAGTGACCTGTACAGGAACACAGATCAGTCCCTACAAACCGGACGGAGGGAGGCAAGCAGGCTCAATCCCAGTATTATTCCCATACAATTTCTGCTATTGGACAGTGCTCAGCAAAAGCCCAAGTTCCAGGGCTCTGAATTTGCTCAGTGATTACCTTGGTAAGCATGAAGCTGAGAGCAACAGGCCTTCATCTTTCTCCTTTCAAACCTGGGAATTTGTATCCGAAGCTCAGAATTACCTCAAATACTTTGCCCCTTTTGCCTGGGGTGAAGGGCAAGGTCAGTGGCAAACAAAAATCGGGCTTGCAGCCAAGAACATGAATTCCAACATTAATTCTTCTAACAGAGTGCAATGAAATGTAGCAAGTCTATCAGTTATCTCAGAGGAGATGGGCCTCCCATAGAAGAAGCTGTCAGTTTCAAAGACATTTTATGCTCTGCTAAGACCTTCTTAAATGGACTGCATATGAGACTAGTCTGCTTATGTTTCTGTTTGCATGTTGTTGGATCAAAGGCTAATTCTAGTGGGGTTTTTTCATATTTAGAAAGGTGTGGGCAGTCTTTTTTGGACTTGGAATGGGGAAACAAATTCAGACTCCAAAGTAAAGAACCAGATGCTTGCCCTGGGGAGGAGAACCTATCCCAGGTTATAGGCAAAAGCTAATGATCTGGTTACATTTAGATGTCAAGGACCATACCTGATGACAGCTTCTTTGTTGTGCAAGGTTTCAGTCAGCCTGGATATCTCCTCCTGCAACTGCTCATGTTGAATCTTAAAGGTGTTGACAAAGTCCTCCTGAGACAGAAGTGTGGCCCTAAGTTCCATCTTCTCCTCATGTAAAACCTTTAAAGAAGTTGGAAATGACTGATACATACACACAATGAACAGGGTCAAGATTACAGATTTGAATTAGGTATTGGTGTGTATATTGGTGCACAGGTAGTGTGCCTGTAACGTGCGTCAAGTTCAACTCCTGCCTTTGGATCGAGGTTGTCCTTCCCTCCTGCTATCAAATGCTGTTTCTCAATGTGATAGAAGGCTCCCACACAAGAATAACAGGAAGTCCATCTCTCCTTATATATAAAAGCATTTTGGTGTGAGACTCACCTGAACATTTCACACGCCTCCCTACCCTTTGAGTCCCTGACCTGTTGCTCAGCAGGGGGGCCAATGCCCTGGCTGCATTGCCTCCCTCCATCTCCTCGCCCCCGCCCACAGACCCCCCCCCCAGGCAGCCTCTCGCCCTCAGTCTGCGCGGGGCCGCCAGGTGGAATGGACGCTCCGGCGCTCGGATGTGTACGAGCATCAGCTCAATCCTACCACTGCCACACCATTCCTCATCACCCCAGGCAGCCTCCAGGTAGCTGGGCACTCTGCCACCGCCGCGCGAGACCTCCAACCGCCCCCGCCTCACCTTTCCCTGCTCCACTGCCACCGCAGCCGGGTGCAGGGAGGCCTACTCAGGCCCCCTCCACCGCCGCCGCACCCCAGTACAACAACACTGACTCACAGCCGCATCCCAGCCGGGTGGGGGTTGAACAGCCACCGCTTCACTCGCCTCTCTTCCGTCTTCGCCAGCCCCTGCCCCTGCCTTCTGCATCCGCTTGGCGGCCTCCCGGAGGGCCGGGTGGCATGGGGCCTCTCCGCCGGTGCCTCCAGCAGCCGGGGGGGGAGGAGTCAGGCTGGCCAACTTGACCCACCAACGCCTTCATCCCGGCATGGGAGGACCGTGCCTAGCCTCCACCTGCGGGGGTCTCGAGCCGGTCGCCTTGGCCCGCCATGGCCGCGTGCCTTCGCCCCATCACTGCTGGGCCGCCCAGAGTGGCCGGGTGCCCATTTATGCCCCCCGCCTGGTTGCAGAGGCCTCGGGTGGAGCGGGGGAGGGCGGCGGGAGCGCGCCTGCCACCACTGCAGGCCCATTTACAGTGCCCCCAGCTTCAGCGGCCACAGGGGGCAGGTGGAGGGCAGTGGCGCCAGTGTGCTAGCCACCAGGGCCCCATTTGCAACACCCCCCGCTTCAGAGGCCTCAGGGGAGTTTGTGTGGGGCCGCTGCAGTGGTGCGCTAGCCGCCACAGGCCCATTTACACCGCCTCCCCCACTGCAGAGCCCTCGGGGGAATGGGTGGAGGGAGGCGCGCAAGCCAGAAAGTGGCCGGGGAGATCCTTTAAAGCTCTCCCCATCCATTCTCCTGCCCTCCTGCCGAGGCCAGCGAGCGGGAGACGCCAGCCAGAGGCCCCCCGCCCCCTCCTGGCCCACCCACCCCTCACCCGGGAACTATTGCTAGCGCCCATCACATTCCTGTCCGCAACGGGCCTTTTCTCCTAGTTTAGCATACTGCCATTTCTTACAGACTGTTTATTACCATTCCCAAGAAATTCACACACTCACCTCCAGTGAGTTCTGGGAAAGTCTCATCTCATCTTGAAGTCTTTGTTGTTCCTCCAGTATCTTCCGGTTGACATCATTCAAATCATCCACTCTCATATTCAACCTCTCTATTTCCAATTCATTAGCACAGATAGTGTCATTGGCTCTTTCCAGCTTACTCTTTAAATGCTGGATTTCAGACTGGCTTGCCAGCTCTACAGATTCAAACATTTGTTTCCGATTGCAAAGCTGAGACTGTAAACAAAGAGAATGTTATGTTAAATCTAAGCAACATACTACAACACTAAACATAAAGCATGGCTCAAATATGAAGTCATTATTGTCTACACAATTTAACAGGTAACTTTTGGTTACCACTTGTTTCCACTGTAGAGATACAGGTAAAGGTTCCCTTGCTCGAAAGCCAGTCGAATCCGACTCTAGGGTTGCGGTGCTCATCTCCGTTTCAAAGCCGAAGAGCCAGCGCTGTCCGAAGACGTTTCCGTGGTCATGTGGCCGGCATGACTAAACACCAAGGCGCACGGAACGCTGTTACCTTCCCACCAAAGTGGTACCTATTTATCTACTTGCAATTTCTTGCTTTCGAACTGCTAGGTTGGCAGGAGAGAGATACAGAGTCATGGCTAAATGCTCAGCACAGGAGCAGCCAAGTAAGGAACTCCAGATCTCCAACCAAGTAGGTACTGTTTGATTTTCCTTCTGCTTTTCCTTCTTGCTTGTTTTTTGGTACTATGCTTCCCACACAACACAGCTTCAGCTACTATTGTGTTCTCTCTTTTTTCCAAATGGTAACTCCCTCCACCAGAACTTAGTAATCTTCTCAGCATCCCCTGTGGTCTGAAATAAGGACTGGATCCAGGAAATGACCATGAGCACACAGCTAAGGTGGCTACTGAAGGGCATCACCTCTCTGACATCCTCTTCTCTATCCATTCCACCTCTTTCAGTTTTTTCCTTCCACTTTTGGTATTTTCCCCCCAACCATTATGGCAACCAACTACCCTCCATCCCCAAATATCAGTCCCATTTGTTAGCTCTTCCCACTCCTGCTTCCCTTTCCTTACCCTCCACAACTGCCACTCTATAACCCAGAAGATGATGACCCTACATTATCATGTCTGCTCTCAATCCCTCCAGCTAGCTGCCCTCATCAAAACACTGATCTCTTCTTTCCATAAATTTCTAGTTCCGGGTCCACCACCATCCCACAGCTTCTCGGCTTTCAAAGATTAATTTGTAGGACACTACTAACCTCTGAAACATCAAACTGCTGTCCCATATCTCTCCCTTCACCCTTGGCTCACTAAAAGTGATTTAAGACTTTCTTCCTCTCTAAAAATGCTCTGTCTTCCTGGTAATTTCAGCATTCATCTTCATAATCCTGTTGACTAAGTTGCTTCCATTCCTATCTCTTTCTTCAGTTTCCACTTTTGACACAACTCCCCTATGCACTGTATTGAACACAATGTTGGTCTCATCTTTATCAAGAACTACTCACACCTCTGTTGTGGAACATCCTTTGCTAAGAATGCCTGTTGCCTTTTAGTTATCATTTCTTTTCTCCTCCATCACACCTGCTAACACCTTAGACACTATAGTACCTGTCTTCAACCATCTCTGTTCTTAACTCACTTGGCCACCTCCCAGTCCACCATTCATCCCTCTCACTTCTTCCTCTGAGAAAAGGACATCTTGCTGGGTGTTTCCCACCCTATCCTTAGGGAGGCAGGAACCAAAACTTCACTTCCTGCTCTCTAGGTAGGACCACTGTTCCTCTAAGCTGAGTTAGTGTGAGCTAGCTCCCAGTTTTTTAGCCTCCAGCTCACACATTTTGGTCTTAGCTCAGGAAGGATGGCTCCAGAGCAAACCAGTTTAATACAGTAGTCAAATGGCTCGCTCACAACTTTAATGCCAGTAGCTCACAAAGTAAAATTTTTGCTCACATGACTTAGAGGGAACATTGGGTGGGACACGCCCCTCAGCTCAGTTTTGTTCCTGCCTTGATAGGGAGAGCAGCAAGTAGTCAGCAAGTATTCTATGCCTTTTTTTTTCTAATTCCCAAAAACGTCTACTTTATTCACCCATCTCCGTATCCTGCCTTCTCTGCCTTCCTCTCCAACTCTCTCCCTTGCCCACTCGCCTTACCCACTCTTCTTTCCCCCCTCCTTTCATCTTGCCCGACGCTCTGGCTGGGGATGTCAGGCTGGGAGGACTCGGATGGCTTCTTCTCAGAGTCCAAGGGGGACGGAGCTCTGCTGCCTACACAAGACCCCACATCCAAGGGGAAAGTCATGTCCTCTTCTGCTGCTGTGGCAGCGGCGCCATCAGCGCCAAAGACGAAGCGTGCCAAAAAATGGTCATACTCCTCGTTGACGGAATGCACAGTGGGCACCATTTTGAATAAGGCGGCAAAATGAAAACCCCCTGAGGGAACGGGAGGGCTGCGGGGCAGCTATAGCTGCTTCCATAAGCCAGGACACAAATGCAGATGGCGTGTCGTCCATTCCCAATGCTCAAGTGCCTATGGAGACAGATCCCAAGATCACCCATTCTCCTATGGGTCCACCTGTGAGTAACCCCGACAGAGGCGGAAGTGCGCTACTGACTCCTGAAGTCATGCAATTCTTCAGGCGGGCCATGAGGGAAGAAATCTCTGTTCTCCAACGCAGTTCCCATACTGGGGATATGGGTCCCTGCCCCTCCCATTCCTCCACTAGTTGTTGCCCTCAGGGAGGTCTGGATAGAAACCACCCAGAGAAGAGAAGACTTTCCTGGCCAACTAAGGGTGCGGTCAGACGGCATGCTGGGAGTGATTTAAATTGCTCCGGTCCCGATACGTGTTTTTTTTTACCTGGAGAATCGTGATCACACTCACCTCCTTGTTCCAGATCGCTGCGTACCCACATCGCTCCCCACCGTTCACACGTGGGAGCGTGCGTCGGTGTTTTTTTCTTCTTCTCTCAGTTTGGGCATGCGCACAGGCGGCCATCTGTAGAATTCCACTTCAACCCAACTACTGTAACACTTCCCTTTAAACTTTTACCCCGAAACAGGCCTCCATGCAGCGCTGTAGCTAGGGATTTTGGGGGGAGGGGGCCAAGGAAGGGCCGGCAGCTAACCCAGCCCAGGGCATCTTGCGATCTGCACTGGAAGAAGGCACAAGCACCAAATGACGCTCTCCTTGTGTCTCCTCTCCTCTTCTAAGCCCTACCTCCAGGTCACTCGGCTGCGGTGCATGTGTATGCAGGGACGTTGGGGAAAATGTTCTGCATGCTCTCTTTCTCTCTCACACACACATTGGGGAGGTGGCACATCCGCATGGGCATGCTCGGTGGCTCCCTAACAAAGGCAATCGAGGGATTGTTCGCAATGCCCCACAAGGACTCCCCGGTGGCTGGTGCATCCACCCGTTCAACTCCCTCCTGGCTTTCCCCGGAGGAATCATTGTTTCGCAAGTGCCCGGCAGTCTGAGCGTGTAAGGAGCTGGCAGGCTGGGCTCCATTGTCAGAGCGGGAGAGGTTGTGGCGGGGAGCGAAGGGGTTAGGGTTTGGGGGGAGGGCGACTCAGGAACCCTCTCCGGGTCTTACAGAAGCACCTCCCAGGCAGGAAATGCTCCGGCCACAGCAAAAAATGCTGAAAGTCTCTCTGGAGGCGCGCCGCGCTTCCCTCGAGCTTGTTTCACACCTGGCAGCGGCAGCAGCTCCTTTCATGGTGGGGCTTGAACTCTTTGCAATCCCCCCCCCGCTCCTTTGCTTTGAGCAGCTGGTGTCTTAAAAGGCACTGGGGGAGGCGACATCCGGAAAAAGCAGCAGAGCGGCCCTGAGCGTAGCTGGCATGACCAGAAAGCCAGCAAGGCATGGCTGCTAGAGAGCCTCCATGTTCAAAGGGAGAAAGCAGGGTGCCTCCTCCTCCTCATGGGAGCCTGGCCGGCCGTGGCAGGGAGAGAGGCAGGCAGGCAGGCACCCAGGAGGGAGGCGTGGCGGTGGGTGGCAGGTGTCCCCACTCAGCAGCCCTCCCCTCTAACCTCCCAGCAGCAGCAAGGACAGCCAGGGCAGCAGCAAGCAGCATGGTGTCACCAGCTGCTGGGCTGAGGGCAGCAACAGTGGGGGGGGAGAGCTGAGTATGGGGAGGGGCCTGTACAAACCGCGGGGTCTGCCTCTGTAAGATCCCAAACTCATCTAACCAACAAAACTAGGCACCATTTAAACATTGTTTTTAATAATACAGGAGCGGAGCTCCGCCTGTGCGCGTATCGCCAACGCTAAAATAAAATGGCAGGTGAAGAGTGGAAGCCTCAGGCTTCCACGCAGAAGTGGCTCGACACCATAGGAGCGATCAGACATCAGAAAAGTGTGGCTAGAACCCGAGAATCAGAAAAACACCACCTGGGGACCTGGTAACAAAATACTCCATTTTAAAGGGGGTTTGAGCCGGAAAGCAATGGCTGGGGACGGTGCGCAGATGTTGGGTGTGTGAACGTGGATATAAAATCCGTTACTGAAGCATGCCGAAAGCGGACTCAATGGCTCGTCTGAACACACCCTAAAGCGGCTAGAAAAGAACACTTTTGCACTATGAGGGACGATCCCCAGTGGGACTTCTCACAGACTGGGGACAGGGAAGAAAGGGAATTTCTATCAGATGAGGAGGTGGAAGAGGAGATGGATGTGCCAGAACTTTCTATGAGATTTTTCAAGTCTGAGGACTATCAGTACTTACTCAGAAAGACTATGTCTGCCTTAGAACTTTTACCTAAACCCAAGCCAGACGATCCCACTAACTCTGACCCCGGTGATGGGTCCCGACCAAGAGGGAGGAAAGATTATTTCCCAAGAACCCCAGGGGTGGAGAAGGTTTTCCTTTCCATTAATTTCTAGAAAAATTCTAGAAAAAAAGCCTATGGCTAACAAGCATTGCCCTCCTAATGTTAAGAAACTGTATCCCCCTAGTGGATGCTCTGATTACTGCATTCCAAACAGCAGGCCGGCTTTCTGAAGACGGTGAAGGCATGATGCGGGACAGCCTGGATAGAAAAGCAGAGTTCGATTACGCAAGGCTCATGAGGCCACAGCCATGGCCATCACAGCAACAGCCAAAGCCACGGTAGTACAACAAACAGGACCACGGTGTATAATAGCTAGTAAAACAGTAAATCACCGTGTACAATTAAACAATATTCGTTGGTTTTTATATGCAAAGTTTAGAATTCAATTATTAACAAAATTACAACAATA